TAAAACCGCTAGTTTTGTTTATTTTTTATTTAAAATAGTTGTCCATTGGGCTTAAGCAAAAACTATTTCTAATATTTACTTCACTTTGACATTTACATCAAGTAAAAGAAATCATATTTTAATAAATCAACTTTAATTAAGAGGTCAGTGATGTTCTAAAACTTCTGTTAGGATTCCTCTAACAAATAAAGGTTGAGAGTTTATTGGCCCATTGCTGTTATTTTCTTTCAGACAATGTTTTATAATCATATTAATTCTATGCGCATCTATCCATAGAAAACAAGGATCTTTGTTAAAAGTCAGTAATATATTTTATGTGGAATTAGTGCCTAAGTGTGCATCTCTTTCTTTCTGTTTAAAGTTTCCCTGTCGTTATCTAGCATATTTGTTGTTTGTCGCTATGTTTTCTATCATTTTATTATTTCAAATGTTATTTTCTGTCTTATTGGATTTTTATATCGCGTATTTCATCCCATTTGCGTGTAGCGGGTAGACACTTTTCGACGATTCGGGTGGAAAATAGGTTTACTTCAAGGAAGCGTCCCTGCCCACGCGAGCCATGCTTTGCTCTCAATTTTTTACTGAGAGAAATCATGTCTCATTCCTTTATCCACCCAAAATCTAGTTTCCTACTTACTATCCTTTCCTGTTGAAGGTCTGCAGCTATCACCAGTACTAGTTCAAGGCGTAGAGGAAATGATCCTGGACCAGCTTGAAACTGGATTACCACAAGCATGACTGGAGCAGTTTAAATGGTTGTGGTACTGCGATGTGGAAGGCAACGGGAAACCCATTATATTTTCCACAAATCTAAATGGCAGACGAGAAAAAGAAAATGACCCTCAGTCCGGGCACCCCTTAAATGGGGAGAGGGTGCGAAGAATCTCCCCGTCAACTACCCAAGAAAGTGGACAGAGAATACAAATATAAGACCGAATAATACGCATTATCACCTGGAACGTACACAGCTTATTTATGTCCGGGAAACTGGCAAACACTGAAGTCGAGATGGTAAGACTGAAAATAACATCTGGGGGATGAGTGAAGTAAGATAGCCTTGTTCAGGAGTACAAAAAACAAAACATGGATACATATATTATTCAGGTGAAACCGACCCAGAACATCAATATGGAACTGCTATATTAGTGTCGAACAAAATTGCTCAATTAGTCACATACTTCATCCCTCTAAATGATAGAGTAGCAATGTTGAAATTACAAACAACTCACGGAAAATTAAATATTATTCAGATCTACGCTCCAACAATTTACAAGTCAGACGAACAAATCGAAAAATTTTATAACAACATAGATGAAATAATGCGACTGACAAAAAGAGGTGAGATAACGATGATCATGGGTGACTTTAACGCTAAAATTGGTCGTAGTGCTGAAGGAAACCGTAGGAGCATACGGTCTAGGTACCAGGAATGATAGAGGAGATAGACTTGTATAATTCTGCGTAGAAAACAATCTGTTACTAGTCAATACCTTCTTCAAACAACATCCTAGAAGGCTATACACATGGAAATCACCTATAAATAGAAAAGACAGAATTGTTAGAAATCAATTGACTTCATTTTGCTTAATAACACATTTAAGAAGTACATACAATCTACGAAAACATACCCTGGAGCTGATATACATAGCGATCACAATCCAGTTATAATTGATTTTAGATTTCTTTAGAAGTCAAAAAGAACAGAAAAGAAAGTTGTCAACAGTGACAAGAAAAATAAAAACGATCGAAAACTTGGTACAGACAGACATTAAAGTAACATGGATGCTCTAAAAACAAAAATAACAAAGATACAAGAAGAAGACATAGGGTTCATAAAACACAACAAACAACAAGAATGGATAACGCAAGAGATTATGGACCTCATGAACGTAAGACGAAAACATAAAACAAGCCTAATGGGATACAAGCGAATCAATAAAATCATTAGCAAAAAGTACAGGGAGGCGAAAAAAAACTGGATGTCAACAAAATGCCTAGAAATCGAACAACTTCAGAAAAAATACGACACCTTTAATATTCATAAAAAAGTAAAGGAAATAACAGGTAGATACAAAAAGAGAAAAGCAACAGTATTAAAACATGATAATAATGAAATCATTATGGGTACAGAAGACAAACTAAAGAGATGGATAGAATACATACAAACTCTTTATGATGACGATAGACCTTGTTCTCCACCATCCACAGAAAATGGAATAAATGAAAAAGGCCCAGAAATAACCAAAGAAGAAGTTATTCACGCAGTAAAATCTCAGAAAGATGGAAAAGCCACCTGTCCAGACAATATCAATGTCGAAATACTAAAACTAATTGCAGATATCGAAAGTAAAAGCCTAGACTTAATAACAGCACTATTCGATAAGATATATGTCACAGGTAAAATACCAACAGGCTGGCTAAAATCAAGATTCGTAGCATTACCAAAAAAATTGAATTCCTCACAATGAGATGATTATGGAATGTTAAGCTTGATGTCTCATGTCCTTAAAACTTTTCTCAGAATTATCCACACACGAATTTACAAGAAGTGCGAGTTCCAGTTGAGTGACCCTCAATTCCCAGTTGAGTGACCCATGAGAGACTCTTTTTGCTTTAAATGTGTTAACGCAACGATGCACAGACATTAATGTAGATGTATATGCATGTTTTATTGACTATCGAAAAGCATTTGACTACGTTAACCATCAAAAGATGATTAAAATTCTGAGAACAACTGAAGTTGACGAACAAGACTTACAAATTATCTCAGAACAATACTGGCACCAAATGGCAACCATTAAAATAGAGCACACAACATCCGAAGATATACAAATCCGACGAGAAGTGAGGCAGGGTTGCGTCTTATCACCGCTACTATTTAATTTGTATTCAGAGTTTATATTCACACAAGCATTAAACGTTTCCAAAACTAAAATTTAGTATTTTTAAAGACACCAATAAACATACATGTATATACCAAGGGTCAAATAATAGAACAGGTAAATTCCATAACATATTTGGGGGTAAATATCAATAGTCAGTGTAATCAAAAAAAAAAAAAAGAAATCCTACGAAGAATTGAATAAGCAAGGAAAACATTCATGAGCATGAAAACATTTTTTACAAGATCAGACCTTAGTCTGCAGCTTAGAATCCGAATGATCAGATGCTACGTTTTTTCTGTCTTAGTGTATGGCTGTGAAAGTTGGACAATGGACTCTGAAATAGAAAAAAGAATAGATGCCTTTGAGATGTATATATACAGATGAATGTTGAGAATTCCATGCGTACAAAGAGTTAATAATGTTGAGGTACTTCATTGCATATGTAAACAAAAATAATTACTAAGAATAATCAAAGAGAGGAAAATGCAGTACTTGGATCATGTGTTGAGAGGCAAAAAGAACTCGTGGCTGAAAGACCTGAGGTGATGGTTCTACCGCTCTTCTCTTTATGTGCCTTGTCCGTTCCGAACGTTGGCAATCAACATGGCTATTCTGACTTTGTTTACGGCAGATCTGAATAGTTCTGCAGATGACAATCCGAACCATTGCCGCAAGTTTTGGAGCCACGAGTGTCTTCTCCTCCCTGGACCCCTTCTGCTGTCTTTTTTCCCTTGAACGATCAGCTGTAGTACTCTATATTTATAGCTGTCTTAAATACTTCTTCTGAGTATATATTAAAGAGAATAGGAGACAAGATACTGCCCTGTCGTACTCCTTTCTTGATCTCAATTTTATTGGTCAATGTAGATCCTACTTTCACTTTAGCTGCTTGACCCCAATAGAGACTCGCTATTGTTCGAATATTGAAGTTCGAGAACTTCAATTATCTTTTCGTGCTTTACATTATCGAATGTTTTTGCGTAGTCTATAAAGCATATTATGTATAAGTCTTTGTTCATATCTCTGCAGCGCTGGATAAGTACCTATAGACTAAAAAGTGCTTCTCTTGTCCCAAGAGAATTCCGAAACCCAAACTGCGAATCTCCAATGTTATCCTCGCATTTTTTGCTTATTCTGTTGTAAATAACCTTGGTGTATGTCTTCGAAATGTGGTTAATTAGACTTATCATCCGATGTTGATCACAAGACTTTGCTTTCGGTTTTTTCGGTATGGCAACAAAAGTTGACTCTAGCCAGTCTTCAGGAAACTCCCCGCTGTTATAAATATTGTTAAAGAGTCTGACGAGTGAGTCTAGAAATTGACTGTTTGTTTCGCAGAGCATTTTCAATACTTCCCCGTATACGTTATCGTTGCCTGATCTTTTGTTATTTTATAGCATTCTCCACTTCTGATTTTAGAATAGAAGGGCCAGTATCATCATTGCTCAGTGTACACCCACTAGGACGGTCATCATTAAACAGTTGTTCCACATAAGTTTCCCAGATTCTAACTATTTTGTCGGGGTCTAGTTGTAGATTTCCATTATCATCGCACAGCCCTTTCGATAAAATACTGTAGCTTTTCTTTGTTGTTGAGTTCCTTTATCTTCTTATGCATATTGTGATAGTCGTATACCTTTTCGCACTGTTCGATTTCTTCGCATCTCTCCGAGAACCATTTCTCTTTAGTTTTTCTACCGCTCATCCGCAGAAATCTTTCGCGCAGCAGTTTCCAAAACTTCAATTGTCATTTGGATCGCTAACCTTCGAAAGGAGACGGCGCCATTAGAAGAAGAATTTCATTCTCTTTTTTTGTAATCGCTTTTCGTTTTAATAATTTTTCCAATTTGTTCACACTTCTAATAATGTGACCAAATTATCTGATTTATTTTAATATAAAAATTTGAATACAATTAGTTGTGTGTATGGTTGGAATATTCACTGTGAAACCTACGGTTCCATTCATTTAACCCTATACAATAAGTGGCTTAATATTTTGATCTATATTTTATTGGACGAGTGGCATGAAAACCAAACAAAGTCTAGAGTTACCAGTAGTTGTATTTATTATTGCACTCAATGAAGTTCGATTCTATTAATATTTCTCTATTTTAGCTCTTGAAAACCAAAAGACTGATGTCAAAGGAATTATACGAAATATCAACAATTTACAGGACAAGATAAATTATTTACCACAGAAAGAAGAAGTTTTAAGGAAATTAGAAGATATATCTGCCGGCAGCAGATCAAGTGTCTCTCTAGAAGATATCAAGGAAGCTATAAATGAGATGAAGAACAATATAAACAAAAATCAGAATTATACTGCAAGAAATCTTAGAAATATTACGGACGCAACTGAAAATTTGATGAAGAACGTCGCTACAAACTATGGTAACAAATAATTAAATTAATAAGTAATATGTTAATTGTGAACACACTTTTTTTAATGAACACAAATGTAACTGGTATATTTAATTTATACTTAAAATTATGCAGACAGATAACAGCAAAACATTTTTGATCTTATCAGACGATCATCAATAAAACTTAAACGTGTAAAACCAATTACAGTTAGATCTAAAAACGTTTACATTGAAAGTTATTTCAATGTAAAAAATAGTTACATACTGTCGATGATTGAAGATTTTCATTAAAAGGGAACGTTCTGAGCCCTTACTAGAAGATACCGAGGCACGAACCGCTCAAACTAAATTATTCATAATAATATACCACTAAAAAAGCAATAGAATAGTTTTAGGCTACTCTTTAGAAACTTGCGGAAAGTTTTATTTGCGAAAGTTGTTATGCCAAAGACCAAAAGCCAAGTAGCGAAGAAAGGTGAACTAGTCGAAATGAAGGCTATGTCATGAAGTGCTAAATTGAAACGTGACGGGTAGCTCTTCTAGATAGCGGACTCAGTAAAACTCAGGTTTAATTTAAATAAAAATATATGCAAAATAAATAAATAATATACTAAAATTATATCCGAGATAATAGATACACAATTTAATTGTCAACCCTAGCGATAACGGCATCAAAGCACGGCTCGATAATCCACTGTTTAATATCTGAAACAAATAAAATATAGTTAATGTCACAAAAATCTAAACGAAAATACGGTGTGTGAAATACACACCCGCTGAATAGAAGGAATCATGGGTTGGAGATGGACGGATCAATCAACATCCGGCAAGGAGTGGGAAGTGACTAATCAACACTTAGCCACGAAACAGGTCTGTCTCAGTTCACAACTCTAAGACCGGTAAGGAGCTGTCACTAGAGCAACACCCTAGCAGAAGCGGTCGGCTTTCGGTCAATACCCTAGGGCCAGTAAAGTAACTCCCAGATCAACCTTCTCATAGAATTCCGGACGGTTGGCCTTTGGTCATCACTCAAAGACCCGATGAAGTTCCCATAAGATCAGCACTCTAACGGAACTCGCTTTTCTCAAGCAAGCAAGCAATTTCATTGAACCCAGCCTATGAGAAATGTTCACCCAGGTAGTACGATCGGGTGTAACAATTCATTGGAGCAAGGTGTGTTACTCGAGTAAAAACAGGAGTCACCCCAGCGTGTTCCAATGCTCTAGACCATCCCTTTCCCCCCTATAGCATTCTGATGTGCTATAGAGGCACAACAATCAGCCAAATGCTCTTCATGTGGAGGTCCTGGGTAATAGAACCCCAACATGGTTTCCTAACCGATTGCAAAAAACTCAGGACAGCGCATCTCCGCTATATTCCTATTATCTTAATGTGGCTTATCCGCGAACTAAAATTGCTTACTTGGGCCTTAAGTCTCCGCTCTGAGTCCCGGTTCAGTTCGGCGACTTGGTGCTCAAGGAGTTGGGCCCTACGTGCCCGGGTTTTGGGGTTTTTGTTAATTTTTTTTGGTGACCGGAGCCGGTTTTTGTTAGTAATTTTTTAATTTTTTTGGTGGCCGAAGCTGGTTTTTTGTGTTTTTTTGTAGATAACCTGTGGACAAAAAAATCATAATTAGTATATAGTCGATATTATAATAAAGAAAATATATAAAATATTATACGATACCACAATACAGACTGTATCCTTGTAACTCGCTTTTCTCTTATGGCGTAAGTTGTTTTATACCGTTCTCAGCTTTTCATCTATTCTAGAGCGCGTCGATGGAAGTGGAACTCCGCAGTGCGAGTGAGTGTGTACCGAGCGTTGGCGAGACGGTGTCGATAGCTGCCAATGCACATCGTTACAAAACAAAGTGCTATAGTTCAAATTAATGGGCAACAGTTCCATCCATGCCAGAATTAGGCATATTTCTTTAAAGTGGGCGATAAAAAAGTGAAAGTTTGCAGAACTTTCTTCATGAATACACTTGATATTTCTAATATACCGCCAAAATGAAGGATGATAATTTAGTGCTTTCAAACTATTTGAAAGAAAATCATGGACGCGGAGAACCAAAGATAAAACCAAGCATAAAAGAGGATAAAAGCAATCACATTAAATCTATCTCGAAAATACCTTCACATTACTGTCGGGCTCGATCAAATAAACAGTACATTGATCTAAGTTTGAATATATCAACAATGTATATATTATATTAGAATTAAAGTCTATAAATGGGGAAAATGCGGTAAAATCAGTATTTATAATTTATATAATATATGCGGTAAAACCAGTAAGTTATATTTAACAAAGAATTCAAAATTAGGCTTTTTAATGCAAAAAAAAAGATATCAAGCGATACATATCGTAACAAAAAACACCACAAGAGCAAGAATTTACAAGAAAGTCAGTAAAATATGCACATAAAAGAAAAGGAAATGAGGAATTAAACGAACATTTGTTCAACAAATTAAGATGGCGATATTGCTACCATTTAGAGCGTACTAAGTCTTGTAATTACTTCCAATTCGAAGGACCACTCACTGGCGTGGGAAGTAAAAAAACAAACAGTTCAAACAATACGTAATTTGAGGCGTCTCATATTAAAACTTGTCTTATCCACGTTATGAAGTTTCTTGTAAAATCGGAAAAACCTTTACCGAAGTTATTTTTTTACGAGCGAAAAGGTACACCAAGTGTTAATATACAATAAAATGTAAGAAAACTTAAACATTAATTTATTTAAACGTACAATATCATCATTTTGGTAAAAAAATAAACAAAAATGGACAAGGCGAATTTTGATCCGTCAATTTGGATTTGGCAAGTTATGCTACAAAAAAAATAAGAATCCCACTAGGTTTATGGAGGAAGTTTTTTTATTGTTGTTTAAATATATTATTTCAAGCAAAATATAATATATTGTAAACTAAATTCTTAAGTCTTTATCGTCTCCTGTTCTCACTGGCTCACAAAAATGGTCTTCGTCAAGAATTTCTTCAGAATTATGTTCTATCAATGGTTGCGCTATTCCCTCTAAAACATCTTTAAAGAACTTTAAATTATTCCCCTTTGTTTTCCATTCCCTTCCAAAATGCTTCTCCAATAAATTGTTTACATCCGCTAACTTGGCAGGTTTTACTGGTACACCCATTGGAATAACTTCTGGAGAAAGATGCTCCAACTTTTTACCTTTTTTTAAAAATTGAATTGGGTATTCCAGTGTCCGAGCAATAGAAAGGTTCTCCCTGAACCATAACATTTCCACTACGATTTTTTGTTAGTATAAATCTCTTGGCATCGAAAAACTTAAAATGCCAGGAGCCCACGGGTTTTAGAAAATCACCAACAGCAGATTTCCAGTCCATAACCAGACAATCTTGCCCTAAATTTCTTACAGTGCCGTGTTCCTTAAATAGGTCCAAATATATTTTAGGATCAATGATGGTTGAAATTTTTTTTAATTCTTTTTCAATTCGTCCGAACACCCTATCAGGTGGTAAATATGAATGTCCAGGAACAGGAAAAATTATTTCTATTGTTTTAATGTTAGGTGGTGCAACCTTGGAAAAAAAAGTAAGACAACATACCTATCATTGTTGAATTGCGATTTTGTCCACCGCATCCGTCAGCACACAGTCGTATGTTCGAATAAGATGAAAAATCAGCTTGTGATAGTGTATGATAAACTGCTGAAGAGATTTCATTCGAACCTTTCTTATGTTGATGTTCCATCCAAGTATAAATATGAACGTTTTCTTTAGACATTTTTGCTCTGGAAGATCCTTGAACCACAGTAAAGTTGTAGGTGTGTAACTGTCTGCTGTAATAGGCAATTTGGTCAGGGACCTTGGGATTGACCAAATTCTTTTGACAGTCAAATGAATAGGTTATTAAATTAGGATCTTACTTCTTAAGTTTGTCAAAAAAGCATTGGCTTTTAGCTTATGTACCCTTTTTTCTACCAAAAGTACATTTTTTTTATCGATGTCTTTTTCTAATTTAATTTTTTCAGAAATCTCAATGCATTTGGAACAAGCATCTGTTACTGGACTTCCAAATCCAATATTGTATTCTCTTGAAAATATGTGATGAAAAAAAGTTTTTTTTATCTCAAAAGTAGCATCTTTGTTGTAAAGCCTCCAAAGTTTGGATATATTTAAATCACTAGACAAATATTGCCGACTTGACTTTGAACGGCAGTAATGGCTTTCGACACCTTTCAAACTTTCCAGAAATTTTCTAACGGCCACTCGCTTTTCTTCATATTTTTTGCTTGTGCGATCACCATCACGTTTTTCTCTGAACATAAGTCCTGTTTCAAGATGTTGCTTTGCAATTCTTTGGACACGAGCTTTAGAAATATTAAGAATGTTTAAAAATGTTTTTTGGCAAACCTGAATATCAAACTTCTTGCAATCAGATTTTTTTACAAAGTATTTTACACATACGCCTTTCCTACTGCTATTTTCTTTTTTCTGCCTATCTCGCTTTGGTTGTGAACATCTACAAAATTTTAATATGTATGCATCTTGCTCAACCTTGGCTTTCTCTTGATAAAAGTTACGATGAAAATTGTAATGTTTTTCCGTTATGATTGCACTTAGGATATACTAGCAAGCTTGTTGCAGAATGCCTACAAAAAAATAAAAAACAATACTTTATTAATAATTTATCAATTTTAGACAATGCTATAACATACCCCTCACGTTTTAATATTTCTCGTCTCATCTTTGATTTGTCTCCAACAACGTTTCTACTTCTACCTCTCTCTGCCGACTTTATTTTTTGCTCCATGTTTAGACCAACGAATTTCGTAGGATTTCAAAAAGTAGAACTTGAATAAATTTATCAAATAAAACAAAAAACAATGAACATATTAGTATACTGCACAGACAAACGTTTGCTAATATACTGCCTCAACAACCGAATAAAAATAAAATTGTCAGTTTGCATCACGTGCTTCATGTTTCCAGCATTCTTATAGGCTGTGTGGATCAGGCGAGTTTTAACACATAAGATGCAGTG